GCCGGCTTTAGCTTTCGCAAGACCTTGAGCCATTCATGGCCATGTACGATTGCGAGGCCCTTAATATTGCAAAGTTATTTCTTTGTGCCGAGGAATGTTATTTGTAGTTCATTATTAGTAATGTTTTCATGCAATTGTGCCGTGCGCATTGCACTTAAAATAATATTTTATAACGAATAACTAAATAAATAAAATGGGGATTTATATATCAAAATTAAGTTGATTAAAAAAGTATTTCTCTATTTGCAAAATTGCAAGAAATTTTAACCGATTGTGCAGGTTGAGCGCAAGGTCTTGTCAAGCGCGAGCACCTGGGCAGTCGCCCACCTTACCCATGCCTAAAGTCGCCCCTGTTTGGTCTATGGTTTGAATCGCTATTTTAAGAAAACGACAGTAACACATGAGTGTACATTTTTAACTTCTATACTAAAATAATCTTAATATTTAAATTAACTTTTAAACATAAGAGAAACATAAGAGAAACCCATAACCAGATTTTCTATATAAGGTAGACGGTTTTTACAGTTTAATGTATTACATGTATTACGGCAAACCCATATGAGAAAATATATCTGCAAATCTTCAGTTTCCTGTATAGCTCGGCTCACAAGAAAATCAGATGAACCTCTGAACTTAGACTCCCTACACAAACACATAAATACTTCGTCAACCGTTCTTAAATGTTAAATAGGTAACACAAATATTTATGTATATTTGAATAAAAAATAATAATTTTATCCATAAGCCCAATATTATGTAGTAATATAATAAAGGGATAGATATAATTGAAGCAGATTTAAAATTTCATAAGTAATTAAAACTGTATTAATTTTTATTTATATTTCTCATTGCTGCATAATTTTCGCAACTAAAAATGCCCCTGCTTTATTTTGGGTTATAGTAAATTAGTTCAGCTTATATTTCGACAAACTATGATAATGGAGTGGGCTAAAATTAAATTATTTTGAAATGTGTTTATGATTGTTCTGAAATATTATGATTAGTTATTGTTTGTTATAAGTAAATTAAATAAGTTTTAGTAAGCACTACAACATAATTTTCCTTAAATACAAAGTAAAACTTTACCCGGAAGCTTATTAACAACAGTAATTTAATTATTTTTTGAAAGTTAAGTATAACTTTATATTAAAAATATAATTTAGTTGTGCAGTATTAATTACTTTTACGTTTTAATGAATTAATGTCCCCTTTAAACAAAGTAAGAATTAATATAGTTAAAAACAAAAAGGGATGTAGAATGTCCAAATTTATAGGGTGTCATTTTAATTTTTATTACATAACAAATTGTTTTTATGGTTGTAAAAGCTACCATATCTTTTTAACTGCATCACAAACCTCTTGACCGACCTTTTATAAAAATAAGTTATAATGAATGGGCTTGGTTAGGAATGTAGCGATATTATCGAAGATTTAGATAAAATACAGTCCACTAAAACGTGAAACAATCCTCAAACGTATTTTATTGTACTCACGTATTCTTCCTTTTTAATGAACATAAATATTATCTTGATCCTAGAGACTTTAATTTTTTAAATTTTTCTGTTAATCATGATTTATACTTAACCGTTTTCAGATAGTTATAAATTGGTACCAATTGTAAGAAGGCGTGATCATTGCTAGTAATAAGTTATTACTAATAACTGACATTTTATTTTTAATGTTACTGTTATTATTATTATTATTAGTATTATATGTGAAGGGTATTTCTACGTGCTTGTTTAAAGGTTAGTATTCAAGTTTTACACATAAAATTATTACTATATGCTTTCATACAAAATTTTACAGCATCAACTTTAGAAGCCAACTTGGTCGCACTTGCCGATTTTCTAAGGTCGCGCCCGTTACGCTATTGATGATGTTATAAAAGGTTTTCTTTACAAGTTTTTATTTACATTTTGTTTGAGTTAAATACCTAATTTTTCATACTATTTTTTTCTATTAACGTATCTTGATATATATAAACAAACCCTTTATTATCATAAAAAAACGCAGTTTTAGTGTCGCACCCGTTACAATGGAAATACCCTGAAATGAGATAATTATTAAGTTTAATATATTAATAATAAAGATACAAATTTCAAAAAAACAAAATATTTAAAAATGTTTAAGTTTTAAAGAGGTTAGTAATAAAATTACTCAAAAAGTTTTTTTCTAGAAATTAGACTAATTTTCTTTCCATAAAAAACTTGAAAATTTCAAGAAAACCTCCCAGGCATGCAAAATAAGGTTTAAGAATTGAAAGCTACTAACATGGTTATTTCATAAATAGTCTACATAACATTCATAATAGCAAAAGGATTGAGTGTGGTTAACTATGTTAGCTCACTACTTAACTTTTACCCAAATAATTTTGATAAGCACTTTAAAGGGAAGTCTGGATAGATTTTAACATTATAATGTTTAATATTTACAGATCTAAATATATTTAGATCTGTAAATATGACTTATGTGACATGTATTTAAGTTACCCTGTGCCAGGGTCCCTGTCTGCACCTTTTTACGTAAAGAAGATTTACTATTTGGAAATCAAATAATTAAAAAAACCAAATGTTCTCAGATTTTTTTTCTGTACAATATATCTTAACTTATCTGGAACTAAGCGATTAACTAGTTAAGACAAAGTTCAAACCATAATTCATAAAATGCTGCAGTAAAGTTATAAAATGCAAATTTAAATCGTGTTACGAACACTTTAACCATAACAAAGGTGTCCCCAGAGACAATATTGTGCCCTGTCATATCTACATGGTGTGTAATTTAAAATGCTATTTGCATTTCGATTACCGTTTACTGATTTAGACTATATTGATTTAAAACACACTTTTTATTTAGTGGTAGCACACTAAACACGAACAAAATTTAACTATTTTCCTTTAAGCGTAATACGTTACAAAATTTATTAATAATTCTATGAATTTGTTTACCGTATTAATAATTATCAATAATCTTAAAAGTGTATGGCAAGGCAAGAGGACTGTTTAAAGGTGCTAGACAATGTTGTGTTTTAATTAAAAAAGTATTTTTTAATTTTCATCGTCTTATTTGGTATATATTTTACAACGTTTCGACAGGTATCTTCAAGTGTCTTCAGGTGAGAATGACCAATTTTAAAACTATGAAAACTTTTATATGGCTATGATTCACCCGACCAAATTAACCGAAACATCACAGCCATATAAATATTTTCATACAATTTGTTCTCACCTGAAGACGATACCAAATAAGACAATGGAAGTCCAAAACTACTTTTCTAATCAAGGCAAGAGGAGTCTCAGGAGTCCAAAGATATTTAAAGAATGAGAAGCCCTATTTATTAAAATTGGTGAACTTCAAAAAGTTATTTTCTATTGGTAATTGGTAAATTTTTATATAAATTAATTACTGTTGTGGAAATGAATATTATATTTGGAATAAAAATGTGTCTATTAATAAGAACCTAAACCATACTATAATAATTTATCATTAATAAATATTTAACAGAAGGTTTCAGATAATAATAATAATACCCATGTTCTGTCAAGAACCGTGTGAGATAGTAGTCTGTTTCGCCATGCTTCCAAATAATAATAATAATTACAATTTCATTACAATAATATTATTAAATACTAAAGCTACTAATAATAAACAAGTTAACTGGGTTTGCCAATAAGTATATCCGAACTTTGAAAAATGACAGACACCATGTTTAAAAAAATATCTTTAACGTTTGCTGTTTTTTGTATTAGATAAGGTAAGAAGTTTCACTATGGATCATTTTATTCTACCAAAATGTTTATAAATTGTTTAAAATTATTACCAAAATCCAGGTTATGTTCGATCTTCTCGAAGAGCACTTAATAGTATTTTCCGGCAAGAATCATTTTTGGCTTCGTTAATAAGCTAAATTGCCGTTATTCAATAAAAGATGATACAAATCAGAATTTTTTTGGAACAGGTACGTCGCACTGTTCCAAGTCCATATCTGTTCCAAATACCTGTTAACTAGTATTTTCAGCCGAGCGTTTAGGAGCTTTTTTCTACTATTACTAGTTGCTAGTCGGTATCAGCAACCACTAGTCATCGCGAACTAGTTCCAGCTAGAGATGGGAAATACCGTTCCTCTACGGTACCGTTCCAAATGATACCGCGACAAAATACCGCGATAAAATACCCTACACCTATCGCTTGTGAAGTTTTATTACCGGCACCTTAAGTACTTCGTGTTCTTTGTTGCTATAAATAAAAACGATGTTCAAAGTTTTAGTAGTTCTGTATTGAAAAAACACAAAAAAGAGTTTACCATACTCATGAAAAATACTAATTTGCTCTCCCCTCACGGTTAAAATCGCGCTATTCTTTAGGGGAGCGGCGGGTATTGGCGTACATGCGGGTAATCCCGCTAATGACAAATTTTCGAATACGCCATCTTTTTTGGAAAAGCTAAAGCATAAAACGATGCCTACTTAGATATCTGGTAGATGGCTGCAAGAATTAAAAATCTACCTTATCAACAAAACCTTTTTAACCTTGTCATGTAAAAATACTAATAATACATATTATTAAATATTTAATAAAGCTTAATCTTTACTGGCCGATTTTGACTTTAACTTCACCTATTTTAAATATCTAAGAGCAATGTGTCAATCACGAAGTACAGATGTGTTCCGTTTATACGGCAATTACCTACAAAGGCAAGGCTTATTATTGTATCATATTTCAGCCAATATTGTTAGAAGACTGGCGTTCCCAAGAACGATTGCATTTCCGCAATAATATTTCACCAGCTGTCCGACAAACAAGAAAGCGAAAATCTATAGGCTTCTTTTAACGAATAAATGTTTAAATAGCATTTTAAATTGCAATGATCTGAAACGAAGTATTTACTTGTATCTAGTACTTTTTCCATATAAACTTAGCATAACAAAGAGATTCCATAATATATTATACTATATTATATTGTTGCGTATACACTTAAATCTCATGTCTAATATTTTTTTCAGCTTGCGACTGTCATCCGATAGGGGCCTCTGGGAAAACCTGCAATCAGGCTACGGGACAATGTCCCTGCAAGGACGGTGTCATAGGCATTACCTGTAATCGATGCGCCAAAGGATACCAGCAAAGCCGATCCCATATAGCACCATGTATTAGTAAGTATTTACTGTACAATAACAATGCAATTAATTATAATTATTAAACAATAAAGGCCATCTTAAAAGTTATTACAGCACACTATCTTGAAAACTTTTAATCTCAAACATAAATTGCATAATATTTTGAAGATAATAGATTTACTCGATAAATCAAATTATAAATTATTATAGTTGATGTAAATTAGGTTCTGTAATCCAAATGACAAATTAGAAATATTATTGATGTTGGTAGCCATGACATATTATTAAGAACGCATTCTTCTATATATGGATTGAAATATGTGTATCTAACTAAAAAAAGATATACTAGTTATGGATTCAAAAATATGTTTACTTGTTCTACCAATAGTTGAACTGATAAAACTAAGTTGGGTGATACTAACTAATTATTAAATATACTTACAAGGTGTCCCTAAACTTATTGGCATAAATTTAGGAAAAGATTGAGCAAGTCAAAATAAGATGAAAACCCAAATAAATATTTTTCCAAATCACTTATTCACTTATCACGATACAGGGTGATAAAGTGTTACTTATCATATCAGTTTTTTTAATATAACCTCTACTATGGTAGTCTTGGAAAGGTGATATTTTGCGAACAGTCACTTACTACCAAAACACATATTCACACATAATTATGATTGTTTGAGTGAACACAGTGTCGTAGAAACGGGGGTTGCTTTAAGCTTATTGTCCCATACAAACTTTGAGGTATAACATTTGATGCAATAATTGCATTGCAATTTTTAGATTACACAGTTCGGCTACCATTAAAAAGGTGTACCTCTCAAACTTTGATAAAATAAACCGTTTCCGAGATATTCGAGATTACAATAATTGTTATATCGCATTATTTAAAAGGATTATATCCCTTTTATATAACAAATTTTATTTTTTAATTGAAAAAACTAAAAAGAGCATTCCATGAGCCTCAGGACTTTTTGCCCTGACTGACACATTAAAAAAATAATAGTTTTTTCAATTAAAAAATTTGTTATCATATACCTTCTAGTCCTTTAATGCGATATAACAATTATTGAAATCTCGAATATCTCGGAAACGGTTTATTTTATCGAAGTTTAAGAGGTACACCTTTTTAATAGTAGCCAAACTGAGTAATCGTCCAAGTCTACCACAGTAGAAGTTATATTAAAAAAACTGATATGATAAGTAACACTTTACCACCCTGTATCTTTTAAACATACGTAATTAGGAAAAATATTTATTTAGATTTTCGTCTTATTTTGACTTGCTTTATCTGCTCCTAAATTTATGCCACTAAGTTTAGGGACACCTTGATACTGTATACTTACGATTATTGACCTTTGTTTGACCCGCTCTCCTTGGTTGTCACACAAAGTTACAACACATAACACCCCACCCTTCTTAGTGACGTTACAAATTAAAATTTTCCACATTATCTCAGTACAATCTGCGCAAAAATTTGAATTAATATTTGTATAAGTCTAGTGTGACGTCATATAGTTAATGCCTCTCGTCTTACTTCATCGCAAATCTTCCGACCTCCGAGAGTGACGTAATATGTGAACTGCAAAATGGACGGAATTAAGGATTATAGTACTAGTAATGTTATTAACTTTAACACAAATAAGAAGGTCCTTTTACATCGGTGGCGGAGAGATATACCTACTAAAATAGTAATTTAAATAAATTACCTAATTAAAATTAAAATAACAAATTGGGTCCCATAATGACTCCCATCATAAATATTAAATAAAAACCAGTCAAGTACGAGTCGCACTCGCGTGTAGAGTGTTTCATACTATTCCGTTTTCCATAGGAATTTAAAGACCAAAATCTGAGTTTAATTTTCTGGGTGGAGGGTTGCATGCACTTGAGCCACAGTTGGCCCTTTGTACTACCTGCAAAATACATTTTTCCTAGATTACTCAAAGGTTGTACAGCCATCCGGGCTTCCGAAAAAAATCTAGTAAGACGGCGGGTGAGATGGTTGCATGAGATGAATTTGGGAAGAGCATGCAGGGCATTCACACAAGATTCGATACGTTTTTTACCAGGGAAAGCATTTTATGGCTTTTTTTACCAAACTCGGTCTGTCATGTTGGGAACATTTCACCAGTATACAATTTTGATAATAGAAGGCGCAAAAGCTCTTAAGGTGCTTATGCTGAAATTGTAGGCCCAGGGCACAGTACCCATAGTTCCTTGTGGATAATACGGCCCTGGATATAACTCCTAAACGTCCATCATAGAATAAAAGAGATCAAATACTTTTTTTGAATTTTTTGTACTATGTAAAGCATCGACCAAATGACATAAATTGAAGGGGACAATGCCCCCAACATTTTTTGTTCACCAAATTTTTATCTAAAATGTACCGTTTTCGATAAAAATAAATTCCAAAAACCCATCGTGCTATATGAAATTTGTAGGTTTTTGGCTAAGCCTGCCATCCGATAGCACTACTAGCAGGTACAACAAGGAGAAACTTCCATATTCTAATACCAGACAGAGAGGCGTGGGCGAGGGCCCACCCGTAAAAGCGGGCTTGACCTGGTACCCAGATGAGCCCAAGACCGACTCATTAGGATTTCCAGCATATATTTATGCCTAAATGTATGTTGGAAATCCTAATGAGTCGGTCTTGGGCTCATCTGGGTACCAGGTCAAGTCCGCTTACATGTAATGGTATAGGTATAACTAGGGTGTCACCTAATAAATTGTCATCATTTGGGGGGATGATAGTACACGCCAAAACAAGAAAGTTTTTCCTCTATCATTTTTGCATTAGAGGCTACTGTTTTTTAATAACAAAAAATATGATTTTTTTTTTACAAAAACAGGGAGCCACTGGATGTCACTGACCTATTCTATAATCATCATTGTTTTTACCTATAAAAACAATAATAATATTCATCTAAGCAAAAAACAGGTATACGCACAGTGTATTATGTTAAGTCAAGCAAACTTTTAAACTTATTAAAAATCGGTTAGTAGGTACTTTGTTATTGTTATTTGATTACTGATAAAACGGTTGTTATTGTGGTTTTTCTGTGGCTACATGAACAGTTTATTGTACCAGAGCAAAGTTGACATATTAGAACAACTCCGCGAACTTATCACTGTAGCGGCAGATAAAATCCGAAATCATCCGGATATGATAGCAATAGCGATACATCATAATTTTTTACGCCGCTGTCAACTTTGTGTGTATAATAACGGCAGGATAGTTAAACATTTATTATAATTTTGTGGAACACTTAAAAAAATGGCTACATGAGCATCGACGTAAAAAGTGAAAGGTGAAATTTAAAATCGACGGGATAACCACGGAAACCTCGAGATATCTAAAAATTAAAAGTAAGTTTTGTTTTATTTAAAGTACCTAAAAATCAGTGGCGGCTGGTGGATTTTGGCACACATATCTCAGTTATTAGACATGGGACCCACATCAAATTTATATGAGTTTATAATGACATTATATAGACAAGTTCTGCCCAAGCAGAATTTAAATTAAAGTTTGCGAAAAAAAGTTAGTTTTTAAGTGCAACCCCCAGACTCTTGCCCTTCCAAATTAAGATAATTCAAATTAAAGTGGTACAATATTTAATTCACTAAAGTTTATCGAGAAATTTCAAATTTTATTAAAAAAATTCAAGTATTACAGATTTTATACCATTTCAATTTTTTTAAATTTAGTAAAAGAAATAATAAAAATTATAAATGGTATAAAACCTGTAATTCTTGAATTTTTTTAATAAAATTTGAAATTTGTCGATAAACTTCAGTGAGTTAAATATTGTACCACTTTAATTATTTGAATTATCTTAATTTGGAGGGGCAGGAGGCTGGGGGTTGCACTTAAAAACTAACTTTTTTTCGCAAACTTTAATTTAAATTCTGCTTGCACAGAACTTGTCTATATAATATCATTATAAACTCATATAAATTTGATGTGGGTCCCATGTCTAATAACTGAGATATGGGTGTGCCCAAAATCCACCAGCCGCCACTGCTAAAAATAGCTGAGTATGCAAAACAAAAAACATTGATCAACAAAGTAATCAATGATAACACAAATGTAAATATTCAATGAATGTAGGTTATTTATTGCCCACTGTGCAAGCATATGTTGCGTCAGTTGTCATAGGTCAGAAACAACCAGTGACGGCCCAAAATTTCTACTTTACTTATAAAAATGTTAATGATGACTAATGCAAAAATGATAGAGGAAAAAACTTTTTTATTTTTGCGTGTAGGTACTATCATCCCCTTAAAGGATGACAACTTATTTGGTGGCACCCTGTATATCTTGATAGAGTTGTCCATAATGTTGAGCGATTTTCAACAAGTTACAACAAAAAAAAACTATACATTTTATCGATTTTTTACGTGTTTTTTTTTTAGTTTTATTTAGCCAGTACATTATATGTATTTTTGTCTTAATAAACAATCACAACACCCAGGGATGTGACCGGGAATCGAACCCGGTACCGTTGGACGCAGATTGCACAGCTTTGTCAAAATCAAAATCAAAATCAAAATCAATATATTTCTAAATTAAATAATTACAGATCATAAAAAGGGTAAATAATAAAGGCCGCAATGTGGTGATGTGGTTGGCTGTAAAGAGGCGCGTGGAAGTGTTGTTCCACCTCTTGAGCCTCCTTGCGGTGAAGATGCGTGGTACGGGTGGTAGCAGCGCAGTCTTCCGACGGTCTTTGTCCCTTGTACTAAGCCCTTTTTATTAGCATGGAGCTTGTCTGGCCTTTTCTCGCAGAGCGAATGTGAGGCCAGCTTGATCCGGGTAGAAGAATAAAAAGTTTAGAAAATTGGCAGAAAAAGAATGATGATGTTGAAGAATTTAAAAGAATGATTTCGAGGGGAAAATAATTCAAAAAACCCTCTTAAAAAATTTGGAAAAAATACACAAAAGATAGAAAAGAATTTAGAAAAAGACCTGCAGCACCATGGTACTACGGTTGGATTTGAAGGGGATGTTGAAAGTCTGGTTG